GCCCTCAAACCTCTACAAATTTTCCATCCTGGAGTTGGCAACCCTGAACAACAGTGGCCTGCAGAACACAAAGCTGAGTGCAAAGAATGTTAGAGACGCACTTCTCAGTTCATCCCGGGGGGCAGATCTGGGCCACCGTCCTCTTCCTGCTTGAGTTCTAAGGCCAGTTTCCCCCTCCGCCCCTGGCAATACCTTTGCCAGACATCAAATTTTAACCTGGTTAATTCCAGTCTAATCCCGCTGTTTCCAGGAAAAGGAAAAGACTCTGCAAGAAACCCCTCCAGATACAATGGCCTTGCCACTTATTTCTTGACAGAAGCTCCATGCTTTCAAAGCTGCAATAGAAGACAGAATTTCGACAGGTGCAGCAGCATGCCCAGCATGGCAACGCAGGAACTCATGTGAAAAAACCCTACCCAATTGTTTGTATCAAACCCTACTGTTAAGAGGCCCATCAGGAATACCGAGGCTCTACTCAGGTTCACACCCTGTTGTTCAAACTGATTTGACACTCTAAGATGGACATCTTGCAAATTGTTCATCATTGCTCAGGGAATGCTATGAGTCTAATTTCTTTTTCTTGTTTAAAAAACAGTGGGGCTACAGATTGTGCAGATCGGCTGCAATCCCTCTTTGATATGAGAAAGGCACTCTGCACGTGCTCATAAGTACCTTTTACTTCGCAATCAATCTCCAGGGCTGAGCCCCGTCATTGAAAATAAGTTCAGAAGTCACACTACGATGAACTTTTAAACCCTGGGGAAAGACTAATTTATTCCTTTCCTGTATTTTGATGTCTCCCAATTTAAGAAATCACAGTCAATCAATGGTGTGATTTTCAACTGATTAAATTGATTCCATTTGCATAGAACTGGTCTAAACAAAAGAAGCCTCTTTTGTTTTAACAGCAGGCACTGCCTGAGAATGGGCATCTCCCTCTCTTCTCACACGGGAAGGAATGCTTCTCTAACCATGGAACATGCCATCGGGCTTTTTACAAGCACTTGTATTAAAAACAATGTCGGAAACATTTAATCAGGAGCACCTATGTAATCCAAACACCCTACACTGCTGTTGCCCAGAGGCTGTGGTCCAAGAGGATCCAAATTTTTACTCCTGCCACGGGCTTTTTACAAGCACTTGTATTAAAAACAATGTCGGAAACATTTAATCAGGAGCACCTATGTAATCCAAACACCCTACACTGCTGTTGCCCAGAGGCTGTGGTCCAAGAGGATCCAAATTTTTACCCCTGCCACGATCTACTCAGCCCCAGCTCCTTCCCCCTAGCTACAACATGGGGACTATTTCGGCCTACCTTATAGGAGTGTGGTAAGAATTACAAGAAGGTAATATATGCAGAGTGTTTTGAATGATTTGGAAGGGCTAATAGAGGCATCCTATTATATTCAATTAGCTGACTACCCAACTCAATGTCACCATCCTAACCTGGATGCCAGCCTGACCCAGTCTCCTGTGATGGAAACTTCAGGATGGAAATGAGGGATGCCAGCCTCCAGGTGGGACCTGGGTTCACCAGACCACAGGGATCAGTTGGCATAAGAGATCTCCTGTCAACACTAGGTTAAATACACCCAGATTAGTGAAGGATTCCCCCCCCCCATATTCACACGAACACACACACGTCATGTACACACACACACCAAAAAACACCAGAGTCTGCAAATCACCACTGCCTTTCTCTCTCTCTTTCTCTGTCCGGTTACAAGGAGTTTCGAGTTGTCCAAAGAAAGATAACGGGAGTTTCACAAGCTGATTTTCTTGTTTGTTCAAAAGGGGGGGGGGGAGAGAAGAAGACACACTAGGAGAATATCGAGGGAGCAGTGGAAAGAAAAGCCAGGTCCCTCCCCCTGCTGAGACCCAGTTGCTTGTCTTAAGTGATTCAGCCGATGTCCCACAATTGTTTCGGTGGTGGTTTATTTTTGAAAGGCATTCATGATGGCTGATTCAGGGCTACAATAGCAGCAGAGTTTAAAAAACAAAACAAAAACCTTTCCTCACTAATTTTCCTGATGTCCTCCTGCTGTGCTACTTGCCTTGGGGGTGCGGGGTATGTAGGTTTTGTCCCCTCAAGGCAAAAAGCAGCTTTGAAGGTGACCAACACTGGAGAAATGGCACATATGTATGATGGGGAGAGATCTTTAAAAAAAAACCAACTTCCAATCTGTGGCTGCAGTCCAAATCAGAAAACTGATCATGGATCTCACCTAGGCTTGACTCTCTTCCGCTACTAGAGGAAAATACCTTTGAACAAGTACAGTCTGTATTTCCTTTGTCACCAAATCATACTGTGTATCTGAAATTAAGGAGCAGGGCATCCAGGTATGTAGGGGTGGGGGGGAGACAGGATTTGTAAGCAGATAGGAGCCCAGCCCTTTTTTTGTTTGAAAAAGACACCTCTTCCTTCTAAGCTTGTGACATTTTCCTTTTTCTTTTTTGGCAGGGCACCCTTGCCTTTAAGAGCTGTGTGGCAGGCTCATATTCAAGAAGGGCAGCCTTTTAGCAAGGTGGCTGTTTCATCTGCTGAACACCTGCCTGTGTCATGTTAAGAACACAGGAACCTCTACCAAAAGGTGGCTAGCCTACTACCTTCCAAGCCCCAAGTCAGGAAAGAAACAGAGACAGAGAATGAGAGATCCTTCTCCCCCTTTCTATCTGAGTTTCCCAACACTCAGACAACCTTTGTCCTCCAGGAATGTAGCACCCACCCCCGCCCCATCCCACCCTCCCCTAACCATACACTCAGCACTGATTTCAGGAACAAGAAGGCTGACCTACATGTGTTAAAATTAAAAGGCAACCACCACCAATTTTAAAAAGCAACAGAACTTCAGTCCAAGAATCTCTGAAAAAGCGTCAGAGCAGTGTGGAAGCCATTCCTCGTTTTAAAAGAATTTCTTTAAGAGGTGCCGTCAGCCCTGAATTCCAGTGGCCAATGAAGCAGACATCCATAAGTCATAATTGAGCGTCGCGTTTTTGTTTTTAATTGGCTGTCATTCAGCGTGGCAGATTCAAGGTTTAAAATTGAGCCCTAGAGCCTGTTTCCACTATCAAGGCTCAATCTAGGAACGCCATAAAGCAAAAAAAAGTGTTTTTTTGGAAAGGGCAAGTGTGTCTCCAAGCAGACGCAGAGTTCCTCTTCTTCCTTGCAGACGAATCGCCCTTCAACCAGCCTCCACAGCTTCTTCTCTTTGGCTATGGGATTCCCAAGGCGACAAACCAGATCATCCAAACCAATGCAAGTTCCAGCCCTTCAGGGCAGCTGCTGGTAAACTTTGGTGAATCACGGCATTGATCCTATAGATTCCACATACCACAGGGACCCATAAGTAGTCCCACCTGGCTTTGGGGCTCTCTCCGTGCCTCCTGTTCAAATCGCCCGGGGGGCTTCCTGACCCCAAACAGGGCCTTCCATCTTGCCTCTCTCGACACAGTCAACAACACAACAGCCTCCCAAAGACATACCCCAAAGTCTCCCCGTGGGCCCTCGAACCTTAAAACCGAGCTGCTCCCCACCCCACCCCAAAGTTCCCAAAGGCAAGGCGGGAAAAAAGCCCCTAGGAGCCGTCCCTAAACTTGACTCCGCTCTCAACGGGACGCAGAGGCGGCGAAAAGCGCCCAAAGGCAGAGAGGGAGGGAAGGAAGAGGAACGCGGCGCCCGGGAGCGGAGGGCGGCAGGTGGCAAGGGGCGAGAGCCCCAAGGAAGCCAAGCCGGCGGCCTTGCCTACTCACCACAGGCCAGCAAGAGGCCCACGAAGAGCCGCCCGGGTCCCAGCAGCCTCCCCATGGCGCGTCCAAGTCCAAGAGCCCGCCGCCGAGCTGCGCCAGGTAGTCCCGCGGGCAGGTGAACTGAGGAGGGAAGCCACCTGCCCGGTCCTGCCTTTCTGGGCTTGACGGACAAGTCGTCCGACCTGTTGGGGCCGGGCCGGGCCGGGCTCGCCGCCAGAGCCAGTCACTCCCCCGGGGCCTATTTGCATGTCTCCCTGCCTGGCTCACCTGGCGCAGGTGGTGGCGACTCCTCCTACTCCTCTTCGCGCATGCCTCTCACAGGGAGGGAGGGAGGGAGACAGGGCTGGCCGCTCCTTTCCCAGGGGCCACGAGTTCCAGCCATTTGGTGGTGGGGACCTGGGGTCAAATTTATTTATTATATTATATTTTATTATATTTCTATCCCGCCCTCCCCGCGAACGTGCTCATGGCGGCTCACAGTTTAAGACACCACCGTGAAAAAATTTTTTTGGGGGGGGGGGTTTAAAATAAGAAAATATCATGTGGCTTCTCAAAGACAAACCCGTTTACAGTGGCAAATGCTTGCAGGGAGCCATTTTTTTAAAAAAAATAAATGGGCTGGTGTTTGAAGTGCCGCAAAATTCTTCATTTGGCTGCAGCAGCAGACTTATGAGGGCACATTGGCACAACTCTCGGAGAGCCAATGTGGGGTGGTGGTCTAGGAACTGGGAAGCTGAGGTTTGAATTCCCACACTGCTGTGGAAGCTTGTTGCCTGGGTGACCCTGGGGCTGTCACGGGTTCTCAGAATAACCTACCTCATAGGGTTGTTGTGATGATGAAATGGAGGAGAGGAGAAGGGTTTAAACTGCTTTTTGTCCCTATTGGATATAAATAAAGTAAATAAGTAAATAATTTCTGCTATAGCAACAGGATTTTTATATGCAGACAAGACAAATGCAGTGATATCAAAGTTGTGTGGAGATAGCCTGTCATATTTATGCCTCTGGAATTAATCTTTGTACATTATATTAGGTAGGTAGGTACATTGGACTGGTTTAATTTGGTGTACGAAATGCTAGAAACTAATTTTTATATGTTTGTTTCCAAAACCATCCTCTTACTGTCAGGCGCTCAGAACAAGATATGTAATTTCTCCCTTCCTCTCCATTTTATCGCTACAACATTAAGTTACAACAGGTGACCCAGTGATTGTCGTGGCGGACAGAATTTGAACCCTGATCTCCTTGAGTCAAGTCTAGCGCGGTATCTAATTTGCCAGTCTTCTTGCGGACCCAAAACACTCCTGTAATCCCACCGCTATGAGGGACCCATTTTAAATTATTTTCTGCATCTGCCTTCCCCCTTTTATCTTGGATGACTAGATGCATAAATGGGTGGCTGAGATCCTCTGTCCGGTTGTGCAGAAGATTTATTTAGGATCTGTGCAGAGCTATAGGAAGGGACAGTGTGGTGCAGGATTCTGTTGGACTAGGACCAGGGAGACCCAGGCTTGTACCTACAGGCTGCCATGGAAGCTTGCTGGCCGGATGACTTTGGGCCCGTCTCGTACACCCAGCCTAACCTACTTGACAGGATAAAATGGAGGGGAGGAGAATGTTGTGAGCCACTTTGGGTTGGTGTTAAGCTGGAAAAGAGGAGTACTGGTAGTCCTCAGCCCAACAGACGTCTGTCTAGTCTCGGCCAGGGCAGTCTCTGCCTGGCTCTTTTTGCAGCAGGAACTCATTTGCATATTAAGTGACACATCCCTAATGTAGCCAATCCTCCAAGAGCTTACAGTAGCCCCTGTAAGAAGAGCTCTGTAAGCTCTTGGAGGATTGGCTACATTAGGGGTGTGTGGCCTAATATGCAAAGGAGTTCCTGCTATAAAAAGAGCCGCTCCAGAAAGAGATTAGGGTCTAACAAGCAATCACTGGCAGTGAATAAGAAAACAATTTTATTTATATTAAGTAGACACTGCCACAGAGTATAATTGGAAGGAATAGTTTGTATACTGTTCCAAAATTGCATGATATTTCTGTTGTAAACATGTTATATGGAAAATAATAAAATATAATTTTAAAAAGGGGGCCCTGACGGATCTTTTACAGTTCTGCAGGGCCTGGAAAACAGAGTTCTTCTGCCAGGTTTTTAGTTGAGGCAGCGGACGTCTCATAATATCAGGCCCCTCCTGCTCATATTGCTGGATTAAACTGCTCATATTGCTGGACTGAGCTGTTTCTTACAACATGGGAGCCCACAGTTCAGGCCTTATACTCTCTACATCGCACAGAGCCAGGATATTAGGAAATTTTAAAAGCTGGTATTATTTATATTTTATGCTGTAACCCGCCCTGAGCCCCTTTGCAGGGAGGGTGGGATAGAAATCAAATAGCTCAATTGAATCAATCACTCAATTAGTGAAGTAAATAAAATAAATAAATCTGTTTGGGTTTACACAATGTCTCAAGGCTCAGGAGCTGCTGCTTTACATCTGATATTTCTCTTTCTCTCCCGTGTGTGTGTGTATGCGCTAAACAACAAAAAGAAGATTGTTGTAGTGGTTAAAAATCCATGCATCCCACTCACAGAACTCACTCATTGGTCCACCAGTCGACCAATGCGCTCATTCAGTTTTAATGCCCCCAGTTAATCATTTGATTTCAGTGCTCCTACCAATACCTACTGGCGTACAGGATCAGACTGTCTGCCTTTCCAAGAACTCTTCTTCAAGCAGAAGCTGAAGAGTTCTGTGATGCCCAGAAGTGTGCATATCCCTGTGCCAATGATGTAAGTGCATATCCCTGTGCCAATGATGTAAGATAGCGGCTTTCCCATTTTGTGCCCTCCCAATCAAGCCGTTGTCGTCTTCTGAATTTGTGTGTGCAAGATAGGAATTGCTTAATGTTATTTTCTTCCATCTAGTCTCACAACAGTTCTTGGAAATCAGATTCATTTCTACAGCAGAGGAACTGAGGCTGAAGTCACTGGCATGTGTGAGTCTCCTGCCGAGCCCATGGCTCCGAAGGGATTTGACTCCGTAACATTTGGATCTAAGCCCAGCTCATCATCTGAGGTGTCACCCTGACTCTTAACGATTATGACATGATGTTTCTTTGTTTCCGTCATAAAGCATTATGAAATTAGACAGAAAACTGTGGAGGATGTCAGCTTCTGTCACGTCAAATGAATCATATGCATAGAACTGGCAAAACTGACATTTTGCTGCCTGTTTCCCGTATAGTATTGTAAGTTAATTCTTGCCACGTTGACAATACATAGAATTTCCGACAAAAAACAGCCCTGTGAGGTAGAGAAAAAGAGTGACTGGCCCAAGGTCACCCAGAGGGCTTCTATGGCAGAATGGCAATTTGAACCTGGATCTTCCAGATCTTAGTCTGAGGCTCTGCCTGGGTTCCCATTACACTTCCCATTCCTGTGTGTGATTGTACCTGGTCCCTAATCATTACATTGTCTGCAACGGTATCTTGTTTTACATCTATAATTCCACCATTTGCATGATATATTATTGTAGGGTTACATTAGCCAGGAATTTGTAAGGTCTCATTATGCTGGACACAATATTATTGTCAGTCTCCCCATTAGATGGCCTGTAATTGTGTAGCCTTGTGTACAGTTCACAGTTGCATATCAATAGCGTCTTCAGTCTCTCAGGGCTGATGTGAGAGGAGAGAGAAGAGAAATTTATTTGGATAATTACGGCCTACTTTTCTTCCAGCTGGGGACCCAAGGTGGTGTACATCGTTCTCTCGATCTCCCATGCATTCTCATAGCAACAAGCCTGTGAGATAGATTAGGCTGAGAAAATCACTGGCCTGAAGTCACCCAGCTAGTTTCCATGGCAGAGTCGGGATAATCTCACATTCTAACCACTCCACTGGCTCTCTTCTACAGTTTGGTGTAGTGGTTAAGAGCGCAGACTCTAATCTGGGAGAACCGGGTTTGATTCCCCACTTCTCCACATGCCACTGCTGGCATGACCTTGGGTCAGTTACAAGTTCTTTCAGAGCTGTTCTTCCAAGAGCGGTCCTTGAAAGAGCTCTCTCAGACCCACCTACCTCACAGGGTGTCTGTTGTGGGCAGGGGAAGGAGATTGTAAGCCGCTCTGAGACTCCTTTGGGTAGTGAAGCACGGGGTATAAATCCAATCTCTTCTTCTTGTTCTTCTTTGCACGTTAGAAGTACCATCCACAGAAGATTTATCATTGGGTAAATTCTTAGCCCATTCTTAGACAATGCAGTGATACTATGGAATGTTCTTAAACATTCTGATTGTTCAGGGGGAAGCTTCCAGCAGTACAAGGCTGACACAAAGTGCAGCTTTTCAGGGCAAAGTGAAAGGCTCATTTAATTATGAAGGAAACCCTAATATAGGGCCTAGGAAGGCTGTGAATACACACGGTAATATTTAGAAAGTGAGTAGCAACAAGGTCAGTGAACTGGCGGAGCAAAGGGCTTGGGGGCTCAAAGAGGCAAGGGAGCTGAGGAAAGGAGACAGAATATGCTTTAAGCGACTTGGCTGAGAAGCAAGAGTTGGAAGGTATTAAGGTTGGATGACGGAGTCTGCCTGGGGGCAAGAGAAGTGGATGAGGCGTGGAAAGGAGAGGCGGAGGTGAAACGGAGCCTTGGAACAAGACCGGAATGGTAAGGATGAGGTACTGGGGCTGAGAGACTAGAGTCCAAGGGATATTATGGAGGCTGTTGAGGTTTGAGACTGAGGAGGGGGCTACGTAGAGCACACTGATTTGGTTGAACTGGACACCGTTTTGGCTCCAGGTCCTAACAGCCATAATAATTCCTCTTGTTGTCGTCGTCTGTTGACGTGGCAGAGAGTGCTTTCTCACACCACCTGTTCCCACGGCAGGGGCTCGTGTTCTGCCTTGAACATTCCAAGAGTTCCGAAGCAGCTTTGCATTGACTGTCAGGTGACACGCGCGAAGAAGTGACTCAGCCGCTTTGCAGGAAGCAAGAGGAAAATTAAAGGTTTCCTGTCCAACTGCACATGAGCTGGGACCGTTGACGAGCAGGTGATCCTGTCTGAGACGGGCCTCAGGGGATAGAAAGGAAGAGGGCAGAACCCAGGGCCAAAACCGAGAGGCGCCTTCCCCCGCTTGCTTTGAGGCTACCGGCCATGCTCCCTCTGAGCTGTGGAGTCTTGTGAGC